TAATCATTTTTCAGGCAAAATTGGATTGTTTTTCTTGTTGGTTTTCCTTAAAACAGCATGTAAGACAGAATCAGAATCTAAGTTTATTGAGAAGGTAATTCAAGGATAGAAATGATTGCAGTGTATGTCTTTGCATTGGGACTTTCATTCTGAGTGACATCCAACCTTTTTGGTGTTGGGTTTTATTATTTTGAATTTTTTACAGTGGCTCTTGCTGTGGAGCTCAGACTGAGTTTGAAACTCTTATCCTCTTGCCCCAGCCTCCGAGATTGGCATGATCACGTGTGGTTCACCAAATGTAACTATGTCACAGGCTTACAATGCTAGGTTAATTTAACCATCATCAGCTACTCATTTTGATGTCAAGAATGTTGAAAATGTTTTTCACTGAGTATGTTTATGGGTAATTCTGAAAGACTTCTTGGAAACTTCCTGCCCTAGATAAGTATCTATGAATTTGAAATTAGTTAGATGTGCAGTATATTTTTTCAATTGAGGATGTTCACTAGATTCTGAAGGAGAAAAATCTAAAAGTATCATAATTTTGTGCACCACAGGAATGCCCTTCTTTTTTATCATAATTTTTTTTTTTTTTTTTTTTTTGGTGGAAACGGGGATTGAACTCAGGCCCTTGTGCTTGCCAGGGAAGCGCTTATTCCACTGAGCCATTTCCAGCCCCCCTTTTATTATAATAAAGGCAATACATTCTTTACTTTCAATGGTGTGACTCAGTGTGCCCCCTTATCAGAACTTAGAATGATGATGTATAATGAAAACCAGTATCACATGCCTAGGGCAACAGTCTTTATTGGAAGTAGTTCACCAGAACTGTGCTCTGAGTTTGTCAACATTTTGGCCATTTGGGGTGGTACTTTGATTTTGGGCAACCATTTTTTTGTTGTTGTTGTAGAATTGCTTAGTGTTCAACAGATAATACACATTTGGACTCAAAAGCAAAATGGGAAAAGGCCAGGCTTCAACACATGTGCGGTGAATGCTCTGCTCAGTATGGAGACTGTGGACAGGAGAGGAGTTTCACTCTGTCATGATGAGTATGGTGTGAAGAAGCCCCAGGTTGACATTTCCTAACTTCTTGTATTTCCCTGTCTCTCCATTGTGACTGAGCTCCCATGGACTGTGTAGACACCAGGATGTTTGTATAACTTTGGGAATATACTTAACCTTCTGAGTGTGGTCTTCTTTTGCATTGCAGGGATTTTACCTAGCCAACTTTCCTTTTTCATTCCTTTGAAGCAAGTTTTGTGTTAAATATACAGGTTACCTGAAGGACTTAAGAATTTTTAAAATTTCAACTTAAGATTATGATTGTCTTAGTTTAAAACTAAGTGTAGAATTGATTACATCTGAAGAAGCAAAGAAATAATGAGATGCAAATATTTGTTTTGCATTGATCATAAATATGTGTAAAAATCCATAGAATCAAGAGGGAGCTGAGAAAAACAACCGGGATTATCTCCTGTTCATTGTCCTGATTTCTTATTATTACCTCCGTGCTGTCTGCAGGGTCAAGTTTTGGAATCAATTTGGTGCTTGTTAATCTCATCAAGCAAACTATTCTTTGGTTTCCACTGTTTGGAAATAGAATGAGTTTATATATGAGATACTATATCATTGCTGGGATAGGGGAAAGATTGCTCTAGGTTTCTGTTGGACAACATGGCACACACTCCATTGCAGGGCAGGTCATAGTTCAGCTACTTCACTCGCCAGCTCTACTGCCTGTGGGCCTGTGTCACTGTAAGTGATTTTTGCATTTTACTGTCTTTCCTGTGCATTAAGATGTCACTGTTGATTTTTCTGCAAGGGATGTTGAATTATAATTTTTGGTAGAATAGAAAATAAGCTGCTCTGCAGATTATAAGAAATTCAAAGTTTCTAAAATGTTCATATAGAAATGTTTAAGAACATTTTAACAGATAGGTGTATTTTATTTTGCCCAGCTGTAGAATCATTTAACTTATCGTTTTCAATAGAAGCTTTTTTTATACTGTTATCTTCTGCTTTTAACAGCTTTTTCATGTGTTTTGAACATTTATCACACTGGGGCTCTGTGGATTTCATACGCAGTGTTTGCAATGTTCACTTCATTTTTTATTATTATGATTATTTTTTGCAGAACCAGGGATTGAACTCAGGCCCTTGCACTTGCCAGGGAAGCGCTTATTCCACTGAGCCATCTCCCCATCCCACAATGTTCACTTTAATTGATTATATCTGATACATAGTTACCCAGAAATGTGTGTATTTTCAGGTAGGGAAAGATTCTGTGGTACAATATCTTATTAACTCTATTAATTTCTTGTTGAAACTATAATTTTCCTAACTTACTTTGATGACAGATGTAGGTAAAGACCATTTTGTGTGTTCCATCTTTTTTTTTTTTTTTTTTTTTTTTAATGTATTTAGGACAGGGTCTACAGGGTCTCACTAGTAGATTGGACTTGTAGTGGTTCTCCTGTTTTCAGCCTCACAAGAGCTGGGATTACAGTCACATGCCACCAAGCCCAGTCTCATTTGCCGTCTCAGCACGCCCCAAGGGTGGAGCTGGCACGGCACACCAGGGATCGAGCCCCGGCCCCTGTGTCTGCCTAAGTAGGTACTTTAATCCGCTGAGCTATCTGGCCAGTCCTTGTGTGTTCCATTGTAATCTACTCCTAATATTTTATTCTTTTTTGTATTTCCTCTATATCAATTCATATTACTTGGGATTTTTTTCAGTATTTTATTATAATACACTGGATTAATTTTTCAAAATGTCTTTGATACTTTAAAATTTTCTTGTCTGTTATTTATAATCTGCATGAGTATTGAGCAATGAAATGATTATGTGGAGTAATAATTCATTTTTTAGATTGCCACTGTTTTGTCTAATTTTCTAACGTTGATAATCTTCTTCTTTTCCAATATGTACATTCATTGTTCTTAATTTCTTTTGAAGCACAGATTTCTGGGTCTCTGAAACAATGATAAGTTGTATGTTCAGTTTCATATATTATAAAATCCCTTATATTTAATCAAACTTTATGCTTGACAACTGTCATTGAAAGCTGGAAATTAATGTCACATTCTTAGTATTCTAAATATGTTTCTGCATTTCATTTTTAATTTTATTCCATTGTTTTGTATGAACATATTTTTAATATCTTTAATAAATATGTAAGAGTGCTGTCATACTATAAACAGATTAGATTTCTTCAAAATGTAGATTTTTTTAAAAATGTCGATTTATGGGCCAGAGAGATAGCTCAATAAAATAAGCACTTGTCTGGCAAGCACAAGGTCCTGAGTTCAATCCCTGATACCACAAAAAAGAGACAACAAAAACTAGATTTATAAGAAACTGTGAGCCTTGATTTCAAAGCAGTGGTGTCGTTCTGCATTCTTTCAGGCAGAGCATGAGTTTCAGGTGCATGCTACGCGTGTCAGCGCTTCGTATTAGCAAGATTTTGTGTGTGTGTGTTTTAATTGGCTTAAAGTCCTCCATTGTATGCACTAAAATGTCATTGTGGTTTTAATGCATCTCGCTGATGACTAATGATGTCTGCACATCTTTCAAAGCTTAGCCTCGTCTGCCTACCTTAACATGTTCAGTCAAAGACGGGGAGATAGCTCAGTGGAATAAGTGCTTGCCTGGCAAGTGCAAGACCCTGAGTTCAATCCCTGGTGCCCCAAAAAAAAAAAAAAAAAAAAGAAATTGAAAAAAATTCAATCAAATCTCTTGCCCTATTTTATTTTATTTTATTTTATTATGGGTTTTGTCCAGGGTCTCACCATGCAGCTTGGACTCCTAGTGATCCTCCTGTTTTCAGCCAAGCACTGGGGTTACTGGTGAGCCACCACACCCAGTCTCAGTCGCCATCTCAGCACCCCTGGGGGTAGGGCCAGCACTGGCACAGCAGGCCCGGGGAATTGAACTTGTGGCCCCTAAGTCTGCCTAAGCAGGCACTTTAATCCACTGAGCTATCTGGCCAGCCCCATTTGGTATTTCTGGTATATAAGATAATATGAAAGCTTCCATTCTTTTTATGTTCCATGAAATTACTGTAATGATACTGTTTTTGCCATTAGGATTTTTCTATGAAAGTAGATTCAACTTTCAAAATCTAGCCAAAGACCTTGAAAGAAAGAATGACTTAATTGTATGAGGATTTAGATTTCAAAAACAGTTATTATCTGTGGTCTATCAGAAACATTCATTAGATATCTATGTATCCCAGTATTATTATTTGTTTCTTTTTTGTAAGACTTTTTTTTTTTTTTTCTTTTTTCCGAACTGGGGATTGAACTCAGGCCCTTGTACTTGCGAGGCAAGTGCTTATTCTACTGAGCCATCTCCCTGGCCCCATGTATCCCTGCACTTTGTGGGTAGTGATTTGCAGGCACCCTCTGTGTGCTCTACTTTAGAAACAGTGCATGAATAAAACTTCTGTGACCCTGCTGGGCACTAGTTTTACTATTCTGCTGTTGCGATAAGAGTGAGTTTGAATCTAGCATCAGAATTACTGTGTGAAAATACGTGCACATGCTTGGTACCCAAAGCATGAGGTTAATATTTGAAGGAATTGACTGCAATTCAGGTTTTCCAAGAGGAGTTCAGACATCTCAGGGTATGAGCCTCAACCTTCTTTCAGAATATGTACATCTGATTATCTAGGAGGCAGTGACCCTGGAGGATGTGCTTGTGAAGTTCTCCAAGCAGGAGTGGGCTTTGCTGAATCCGTCTCAGAAGAAGCTCTACAGAGAAGTGATGTGGGAAACGTTCAGGAATGTGACTGCTGTAGGTAAGGGTGACACTTGCTCATGTGCACAGTGAGAGAGCTCTGGTTCTTGCTCACTGGTACAGATTCATGAAGTAGAATGCGAACATATTTAGAAGTCTGTCTCAGGCCTGTTTACATTATTCCATGAATTAAACTGCTATCTGCTAATTTCTATACAATGATACAGTGACTTTTTATATTTTTGTGATTACAATTTAGGAGAGACTTGGGATACCCAAAAAATTAAAGAGGAATACAAAAACTTCTCAAGACATCTAAGGTAAAGTATTTATAAATAATACTAATAATCCCTGAGAAACCATGTTTGAGCACAAAACAAATACTACTGGCAGAGAAACACAACAAATGAGACCATGGTTAAATTTATTTTATCTGAGAATAATTCTTCAGATAAGCGTACAGACTGATATTTCATAATGTAACAGTTGAACACAGAACTATTCCAACTGGGAAGCTAACTTACTTGAGATATTATGCAACAAGGACCATCTCATACAACAGTATACATTTTTTTTTTCACACCATCATGAAAATTGGGCTGGGGAGATCACTTGGCAGTCTAAGCGCCTGCCTGACAAGCACAAGGTCCCAGTTTCAATCCTTGGTACCACATTCCTTGCCACTGTGCCTACCACCGAAACCAGGTATGGTGGTACACGCCTGTAGTCCCAGCACTGGGGAGGCTGAGACGGGAGGATCATTATGAGACTGCACTGGGTAGTAATACCCTGTACCAAAAACTACAGAAAAGGTTTAAGAAAAGAAAATGTAGGGCCGGTCAAATAGCTCAGCGGATTAAAGGGGGTTCAATCCCAAGGTCTGTTGTGCCAGCCTCACCCCCGGGGTATGCTGAGACTGCAGTTGAGACTGGGCATGGTGGTGCACACCTGTAATCCCAGCTCTTGGGAGGCTGTAGACAGGCAGATCACTACAAGTCTAATCTAGTAGTGAGACCCTGAATACCCTGTAGACCCTTCCCTAAAATACACACACACATAAAAAAAAAAGGGAAGAAAAAAAAGAAAATGTATGAAATTTCAATTATGATTGCAGTAGAGGCATATGTGAAACAAATCAATTTTGTATTTTGAAAGGAATTCATGTTGACAATATGTTATCTATCTGTCTACCTATCTATGAATGTGACACATATATTATCTGGATAATTCCTGAATAATTCCTTGAAGCAATATTCAAAATGCAAATGAATCCTAATGTTTAATCATAGACATATATATATTTTTCATTTATGTATTTGGTCCAGGGTTTCACCATGCAGCTCGGACTTGTAGTGATCCTCCTGTTTTTAGCCTGCCCAGTGCTGGCATTACAGGCATGCACCACCATGTCCAGTCTTGGTCATGGCTTATCATGCCTAGGGATTGGGCTGTCACAGCACATGGTACCAGGGATCAAACCCGGGTCTCTGTGTTTGCCTAGGCAGGCACTTAGTCTGCTGAGCTCTCTTGACAGCCCAATCACAGATATGTTGAAAATACCTTCCAGAGAATTGGAATTTAAAATTCTTAGAAGACATCCTCATAAATTGTTAGTAGGGATATAAAGCAGAAATATTTTGATAATTAGTATACAAATGTTTCAAGAACTAAAAATAGAAATTTGCATTTGATCCAGGTATACTTCCCTAACTCTATTTTGAAAGGATTTATAATTATAATTTCTTAAGGGCTGGCCAAAGAGCTCAGCAGATTAAAGCACCTGAAAGCAGGCACAGGGGCCAGGGGTTTGATCCCAGGGCCTGCTGTGCCGGCCCCGCCCCCAGGACACACTGAGACAGAAGTTGAGACTGGGTGTGGTGGTGCACATCTGTAATCCCAGCTCTTAGGAGGCTGTAAACAGGCAGATCACTACAAGTCCAAACCTCTAAAGAGACCCTGACCAGCCTGTAGACCCATCCCTAAAAAAAAAAAAAAAAAAAAAAAAAATACTATCTTTTCTTAGTGATACATGCATACTCAACACTAAAGAGCAGTGTATGCATGGCTATTCAAAGTAGCTAAGTTCTGGAAATCACAGTACCTTTTTTATAACAGCCTAGATTGCCATCATTTTATGCATGTATACAGAGAACATGGGAGAGGCTGAATGTGTTGATGCCTTGTTATACTCCCAGCACTCAGCTCTGGTAAGCTGAGCCAGTGGGATGGCAACATGAAGTTCACCCTGACCAAATGAGTGATTAATGAGAAGGTCTCTCACAATAAAAAAATGAAGAGATTAAAGGGGCCGGGGAGATGGCTCAGTGGAATAAGCACTTCCCTGGCAAGTGCAAGAGCCTGAGTTCAATCCCCGGTTCTGCAAAAAAATAAAATAAAGTAAAATAGAAATTTATTACTAAGTTTGTTAATTCTCAGCAATGGAAAAAAATATGCCATACATTCAACCATAGAAAAGGAATAATGTCCCTTTGGCAAATACAAATAAGTAAATTGAACTCCATGTCATACTGATAAGTGACCTAAGTAAGAAACAAAGTGAATTATCATGATTTTTCTATTAGATACCAAAATATAAATTAGGGAGTAAAATTATGGAGTGGGGAGTGAAAGCAGAAAGGCTCATTTGTTAGAGATAGAGCAGATGACCAGGGTGAAAAAAGAACAGGGAAAAGATGTATTAAAAGGCATCACACATGATCAGATTGTGATACATATATGTATCCATGACCTAAATGAAACCATAGTCTATATTGCAAACATATCAAGTAAATGAGACCCTTTGGGAGATGTGTACTTTGGAGGATACCACCAGGGTGTTTAGCTTATTCCTTTCAAAATGTTTTAGCCAGTCTCAAACTAGAACATGTTCTGGTAAACTGTTGATATGAAGATCTTTTAACTATGATTGATATTTTCTTTTCATTTAAGAGTTGAAAAGATAGCAAAATTTTATGAAGACAAAATATGGGATCAACAGGAAAAAATGTGCCTTTGGGCTTCAGATGAGAATGTGGAAACACAACAGGCTGCTCTAAAGTCAGCTGAAAACCTTGCGTGTAGCAAGCCCGTGTTGGGGCATTCATCATTAAACGTGTGCACGTTACCTGACACTGGACTGAAGCCACGTGAGTATGTGGGATTTGATGAGGAGCTAGGTAATGGTAATGAACCTGGAAAATCCAGTGATTTCCAGCCCTGTCAGAATCCTGCAAAGACAAAGCCTGGAGAGCAGTGCTATGAAAGTGAACAATGTGGGAAATCACACCCTAACCATAAGGAACAAACTCAGTCTGTAGAGGAAACCTCTGGATGCAAGCAAAGCGTGAACAGCTCTAGCACTCCCAGTGGTATTAAAATCCATGAAAGATTTCACACTGGGAACAAACCCTATGTATGTAATCAATGTGGAGAAAAATTTGCAGATAACTCTGCATTTCTTAGACATAAAAAAACCCACACAGATGCGAAGGCATATATGTGTCAGCAGTGTGGGAAAGCATTCACTACACAACGTTATTGTAAAATTCATGAAAAAATTCACACCGGGGAGAAACTCTATTCCTGTAAAGAATGTGGGAAAGCATTTGCTACACTGAGTTATTGTAGAATACATGAAAGAATTCACACTGGTGAGAAACCGTATGTATGTGAGAAATGTGGGAAAGCCTTCCGTACACATCTGTATTATAGAAGACATGAAAGAATTCACACTGGGGAGAAACCTTATGTATGTAATGAATGTGGAAAAGGATTTGCTGCTATGTCTACATTTTGTAGACATAAGCAAGTTCACACAGGTGAGAAAGCATATATATGCAAGCAATGTGGGAAATCCTTCTCTAGTGGAAGTTACTGTAAAACACATGAAAGAATTCACACTGGGGAAAAACCTTATGAATGTACTCAATGCGGAAAAGTATTTGCTGATAAGTCTGCACATTGTAGACATAAACGACTCCACACAAGTGAGAAAACCTATGTATGCAAACAATGTGGGAAAGCATTTACTACTCTCAGTTATTATAAAAAACACGAAAGAAGTCACACTGGGGAGAAACCGTATGTGTGTGAAAAATGTGGAAAAGCATTCACTACCCCAAGGTATTGTAGAATACACAAAAGAAGCCACACGGGGGAGAAACCATATGCTTGTAAGCAATGTGGGAAAGCATTCATTGATGTGAAAAGTCATAAAATTCATGAAAGAATTCACACTGGGGAGAAACCCTACGCATGTAAGCTTTGTGGGAAAACATTCAATGCCATAAATGCTTGTAAAGTACATGAAAAAACTCACAGTGGTGCAAAACCCTATGTATGTAAGAAATGTGGAAAAGCATTCACTACACAGAGTTACTGTAGAATACATGAAAAAAGCCACAGTGGGGAGAAACCCTATGCATGTAAGCTATGTGGAAAAGCATTTTCTGGCATGAATTACTGTAAAAAACATGAAAGAACCCACAGTGGGGAGAAACCCTATGCATGTAAGCTATGTGGGAAAACATTTGCTGGCATAAGTTATTGTAAAAAACATGAAAGAAGACATACTGGGGAGAAACCCTATGAATGTAAGCAATGTGGGAAAGCATTCAGTACACAGAGTTGGCATAAAATACATGAAAGAAATCACAGTGGCGAGAAAGTGTAAAAGTATTCACTACACCAAGTTATTATAAAATACATGAAGAACTACACTGAGGAAATACCCTGTGTATATAAAGTGTGGGAATGCATTCAGCCAACTGTAAATTTAAGTGCATCAAAGAGTTCACAGTTGTGAGATACATTGCATATAATTAATAGAGAAAACTAGTCAACATTGTACTTGTCTAATTCGTGAACTATCTCACACTGGGGATAGAGCCCATATATGTAAGCAATATGGGAAAAGATTGCTACACACAGTTATTATCAAATACAGAAAAGAGCTCATACTGTAGAGAAACCTTATGTGTGTAAGTAATGTGGGAAGGGACTTGGTACACACAAATGTTACCAAAGACATGAAAGAACGCATACTGAGGAGAAATGTATTTTATCAAATTGGGAAGGTTTACTATCCACAGATATTGTCAAAGGAATGAAATCATACAGGTGAGTATCCTTACACAAGTAAAATATTTGGGGGGAAAAAAAACTTTAGTGAGTCTTAATGTGCCTAGATATCACACTGATTTGGAAACCTCTATATAAATGATGTGGGTAAAGTATTCAGAGATCAGTTTTTATCCACTGCATGAAGTCAGTGTGGAAAGTCTATATATATAACTATTTTGGAAATTCATCCTGTAGTAAAGACTTAGATAAATTTAGTGAGAATTTTGATGTCAATATTGTCGTAAGTTTTCTAGAAAATATACTCCCAGATGGAAGTACCTTAGAATATTTTCTGAGTACATTAGTCAGTCACTTGTACATATCCAAATTATGTTTCTGTAGTCGTTATTATAAAAATATTGATGTAATATTTTTGTGGAAGCTATTGACTTTAAACAGTGTGTACTATCTTCTAATTAAACAAGGTGAATTGAAATGTATTTCTCACTTCAAATAGGGTTACTTTTTATGTCATTTTAATGTTGCTTTTACTTTGGGGGGGTATAGCCAACTACAAATAATTTCGTTCATTTTTTTCAATGGATGGCTTTTCCTACCAGCTATGAGTTTCTTCACATACATAATTCATATTTCTGGAAAAAGGAAAGAGAAATTTTTGGAAGTGATATATTTGTATACACATTTAGAGATGTGAACATGTATTTTTGGGAAGTTCATTTATCTGTACAACTTGGAGATTAGCAAAGTTTTATTTTTAAAGAAAGGCTTTATTTTTGTTATTCTAAGAAGATACCTACATATACCAAAATTATTATATCATATGCCTAAATTTCCCTATTTTGCTGTCATATTCAGGTCAATATTATGATTTATAGAAACTTTTCTTAATATTATCATTTTCCTTTTAATGCTTATAGTGACATGACTTCTAATTTTGTATTAATTTATTACCACCTGTACAAAAAAAAAATATCATACTGCTGTATCTGATTGTGACACATCTCGTGGACCATAGTTTGTATATAAAAAGATGCCATGAATTATAATGTTGTGTAAGTCAGTTGTATACGTTGTGTAAGTCTGTATCTACAAGAGAAACAGATTTGATGTAACATATACAAACATATAACAATTTACAAGATTTGCTTGCAGTGATTGCCGACAGAATCAGATGTAGAAGGGTACAAAAGTTTTGTCTGCAAACAATTTCAAAGGGCTGGCCAAATAGCTCAGCGAATTAAAGCTCCTGCAAGCAGGTGCAGGGGCCAGGGGTTTGATCCCCAGGCCCGCTGTGCCTGCCCTGCCCCGGGGTGCGCTGAGACGGCAACTGAGACTGGATGTGGTGGTGCACGTGCCTGTAATCCCAGCTCCTGGGAGGCTGTAAACAGGCAGATCACTTTGAGCCTGATCTAGTAGTGAGACCCTGAACACCCTGTAGACCCTTCCCTAAAATACAAAAAAATAAAAAAATCAAATAAACAATTTAAACAAAATCCAAATGGAGGCCTAGAGTCCACTGTAGTGTCCCATGCAAATTTGATCAGGAGACCAAAGGGTCTGTGCAAGAAGAGATCAGCTGTCTGAGCTGGAGAATGAGGGGTCTGTACTGGAAGGCAGGAGTTGATTTCCAGGGTGACTGCGAATACTGGAGCGCCTCACTAGAAAGAGAAGAAAGCCTGCCTTTTTTGTTTCTTTTTATAAAGTCTGGCAGCAATGTTCCCTAGGTTTTGTCTTCCACATCCAGAAATTTACGGCGCAGATTTATTTGGAGATGTAGTACTCAGGTTAACACAATCAGGCAACTATCACAGCCCACTACTTAGCACTTCACAACCAGACGTATTTCTTTAAACCATGATCTCCAGCTACAAAGAAGATCTCCTAAATATACCTAATGTGTTACAACTGTCCTGTATTCAAATGCAAATGTACTAATTCCTTTTGCACAATACAAGAATATTTAATTTGGGTGATGTTTACTCTTAACATTCTATGACTGGAACAATGGAACATAGGTTGAGCAAGACTTAAACTTAAGTTTATTGATTTTGTGCTAAAGTGGAATCATTGAGGAAGATTATAATTATAATCCTCATTTCTGTAGCGGATTATGAAGTCATACACATTTACAACTAAGTTGTACTACCCATTCTGTACTTCTTTGGCACTGAGAAAGGTCTTGGTACTTCGCTTGGTGTGGTGACTCACATCTGTAATATTGAGTCACCAATATTGAGATTGTAGTCACCTCTCTGTATACTTGGACATTCTGTCAAGATTGGAGTCGTAGTTTCCTTTTAACTTGAATTCGCGGGCCTGGGAATGCTACCAGGCACCTCAAGGGATCTCCTGCATGCAAGTACAGATTTTCATTCCTCCATTGTAATTCTCCCTTGACAGTCTGGACAGTCACTCCTGTCAATGTAACGCCCTTGTTAGATTGTTTCCTCAGCATCCAAAGGACAGCAAAATGACCAAGGGAAGTCTTCATTTCTATCCTGCTTCAAGCCTTTCCCCCTTGGAACTAAAACTCTGTCTTTTTAAAAAAAAAAAAAAACTTAAGTATTTGATTCAGGGTCCCATTACACAGCTCAGACTCATAGTGATCCTCCTGTCTCAGCCTCCCCAGTGCTAGGATTACAAGTATGCACCACTACACCCATTTTTGATGGCCAGCATGGCATGCAATACTGCTGCCAATATCTCCCCAGCCCCAAAATCTCTTTCTAAGCCAGCAGAGTGTAAGGTCATGAGAACAGGTTACATAACTGTTACTAGGCGATCAGTACAAGTAACAGAAGTGGTTCAGCTCTTCCACTTTTATTCCTGGACTGTGAGTCCCGGCTATGAGAAACCTTACAAGATAGAAGATGCTGACCTGAAACATACAGCTTTTGGAAGACCCTTGCAGTCCTGCAAGCAATTGCCAACCGATTTGTGCTGCAACTGTGTTTTCAAAAGACCACTGCTCTTTTCTCTCAATGTATCTGCTTCTGCAATGTGAATAAAATGGTTGGTGAATTCCATGAGTATGAGCCCATTGCCTCACAGATTGGGTCAACAAGTGCGTCTCTTGGTGTGAGATCCAGTGCTGTGTGAAATCCTGTGCTGGATGATGAAGCGTTATGTGAATCTGAGGAGGAGAGATTTGAAAGAAGCATTACATGCAGGAAAGGCAAATCCATGTCCAGAATAAGTCACTATTCCGGTAAGGACAAAGCACAGTCCCTTCAGTGATGGATGCTGTCCCTTATAACCCATTTGCCAACAGGTGAAGGGGCTGATCACCCTAGCAAATGATGCCATCTTTGACAGTCAATGTTTGTCTCTGCTTCTGGCATACTGGACATTCAGTAGTGATTGTAGTCAGATTAGGCTTTATGTGGGAATCTGTGTGGCACAGCATGCATATGCTCCATCCCTGCCAAAATAGCCACTGTGCTCTTGAACCCATTAGGCAAAGACAGGGGTGGCTTTGGAGATTGGTTGGCTGCTGTTTACAGAATGGGTACTTCTATCCTCTTGATAGTTCATGCCTTTTGTGGAGGGCACATTTTGGGGAAGCTTTACATAGAAATATTTTTACATCCTTTGCCCATTAAGATAGACCTATCCACATACTTCACCTTGAGAATCACTGTTACCAGTCTTCCAGCTATGGTCCTCCAGTTTCCCGAATACCCAGCCAGAACATTTGACTGCAGCCCTGCAGTCAGTCTACGGTCACATATCTGATCATTTTTCTTCTCATGAAACAGTGTAGTAACAGATGCACCACAGAAGTGCTGGAGGGGATGTAGAGAAAAAAGAACCTTTCTCCAGTGTTGGTGGGAGTGTAGCCTGCTACATGCACTGTGGAAATCACTGTGGAGATTCCTCAGAATGCAAGAATTGGAGGTCCCTTTCAACCTAGCTCTTCTCCTCCTGGGTATTTTTCCAAAAGGATTGAAATCATCTTACCAGAGTGATCTATGTGCACTCATATTTATAGTAGTGCAATTTGTCGTAGCTAGATATTGGAAACAACCCAGATACCCATCAACTGAGGAAAGGATAAAAAACGTGGTGTTTTTACACACTGGCATATTGGGAAGTCAGCAGGAAAAAAAATAATGGCTATCTTAAACATGTACCTAATACCCAATATAAACCATAGTTTTACATGAACCATTCCAACAACACTACAGGTCTTGAACATACAATACACTAAAGAAGTTATCAATAAAAAAATAAGTATCAATAAAGGGAATCATTAGACAAAGTCACATTCACTAGGGATATTGTTCTGAATCCTGATAAATAGCACATAAAATCCACCTTGATATTTCAAACAAGCTACTGGAGAAGTAATATGTTTGAATGGGCACAACATAAGTTCTGGTATTACAGAGTGAGTATTTGATAATTGAGAAAAATTTATCTAGATAAATGGAGAGGGGCTGGCTGAATAGCTTAGCAGATTAAAGCTGCTGCAAGCAGGCACAGGGGCCAGGTGTTCAATGCCCAGGCCTGCCATGCCGGCCCTGCCCCCAGGGTACTCTGAGACTGCAATTGGGTCTAGGCGTGGTGGCACTCACCTGTAACCCCAGT